AAACCCATTTCGCATAGCGCTGTTCGCTGCAGCAAAATCGAAAGATACCACGCAAACATGAGAAATTCATAAAGTTCAAAACGCTCTCCGCGATACAAGTTTAGTTGATTTTTTTACTGACAACGTTCGTATTACTTGACAACGTGACAGGTGTTAAGTCAAGTGGATGTTCTGAGGCCTTATCGTAGGTGATGTTGTCCTCACTCTGCATGGTACATCTGGCGAGCACAAAGGATGGTAAGAAACCGGTTGCGAAACATCATGGTGACGTCGCTATCGGTGGCAAGGGAATTGTGGTTTTCGGCGATTCGATATTCTTCTTGCTCTTGATCGGAAATGTGAAGAGTGGCTTCCGGGTTAAGGAGCACCCGTTCGATGAGGTGACGTCCACGGAGTACTCAGTCGTTCCTATTCGTGAGGAACGAGTGAGTCAGAATAATGAACCAAAAGGTCAGTGAGAATAAAGATCAACGAGATAGTCGGGGCACCCTCTTGTAGGGCTGCGTCGGCAACGATGCAGAGGACGGTGATTTGCTATCGGTACTCATGCAGTCCGAGCAAAACTTCGGCAAACTGGGCGACGGCGCCGTTGGTAGTGGCCGTCACGGCCACCACTTCAGCCGGTTTAGCGAACCGGGCAGCAATGATAGCTCCTACGACGGTTTTCTTGTGCCGCATTCTGCCTGGATGGCAAGAAGCGGCAGAGTGCTAGTACCCATATGCTCTGCATGGGCTTGGTCTCCATGCAAATGAAGAGTGCGGGCACGCAATCTTTTCCCTTTTCCCTTGCTTTTCCCTTGCTACGCCGTCTAGGTGCTCAATGAGAACATTGGCTCGGAGAGGGGTACGGCGCATGCGCATAATATCTTTCAAGCAGGGTAACAGTGCACGCTTTTCAGAGGCACCGGAGAAAGAGGGGACCAAAAGTTTACCGACTGCTGCAAATGAGTCGTTCAGTTTTTCCGTAAGAGGCGACACTTGCCCTCGTTGATCTTACGAGTGAGCAACGCCGCCGTGGCACAAGTGTCGTTCCAAACTTGGGTTATGGCTGGATGTCGTGGCGCCGCGGAGCCGTTTGAGATCCCGGCCATGGAGAAGAGTATCGTCGTGTAGGTCGTCAAGGCAAGAAAAGGTAGGCCTAGGGAGGGCCTCGCCTTACCTGCATTGTGACGGATAGCTGGGCAGAAGTCCCGAGGGTGGACGAAGAAGATGACTCACTAATAGTAAGGGCGACCGGCGATAAAGCTGGATAGATGCAGGATAGAAGATAGCTGGATAGAAGTGATAATCCGGTTGCGGAGGGTAAATTACATCCAAGAGAAGAGCGCGCATGGGTGAGCCTCCCAGAGATAACAAAAAGAAGTGTAGGAAGATTTTAAAACATCGGGGCAATATTGTGCTAACCTTCACCAACCATCAACAACATAAGTGGATGAGCTCCAGCAATAATGGTCGGATAAGAAACGTTGTGGGAGGTGCCGGTGTTGCGATGATGGGTCCCATAGAAAAATGTGGTGCTTGAACGGATTTTGTGAAGATGGAGTAAAAAGCGGGGATAACAGCGTTAGACTGAGAAAGTCACCAATGTATCCCCACAGCTGTAAACATCCGCGCTGTGCCGCCGGCGATGATAGCGGCGTAACGATTACGGTAACCCTTAGAGTAGTCCCTGGCGAGTGTTTGCGTCTGATAGAGTGAATAAAGACGAAACGAACCCGACCGGAATACACCTTCCGTGACTACTATCCAAGGAACACGCTGCTGTTGACCTTTGAAAAAAACAACGGTCGATTTCCGTGCGTAGACTGTGGTCGGAAAGCTGTGCAAGAACTACTCAATGACGATTGCGGCAGCAAAAAGGAAAGCAAAAGATTCAGCAAAACTTGTTTAGGGCACGTGAAAGCGATGAAAAGCGGAGATAAAAGAGCGGGGTGGAAAACGTTGCGTTGTTTCAGCGTGAAACCCAAACATGGACGTGAGACTTGGCACTGATGTGTTCGATAAGAGCGCTGACGATACGGTAGCATTTTGGACGCAGGAATAGTGGATTTGGTTCAAATGGACTTAGAGTTGCGCCAGGGCAAACTAATGCATAGAAACCACAACCAACTCCTTGCCAATTCGACGTCAATAGGAAACGCTACGGTAAGCTAGCTACTGTGCTCAAGCGGCCATTCAAAAATAAAAGAAATCCGGATCCAGAACCGTCAACCGACTTTAGAACCTTACTTGCTTGAAGCTACAGGAGCGCCGAACGGCTGCCTATGTGAGCACACCACTATACACTAACGCGTGTCTTCCGGGAAACAAACTGCTTATGTTATTTGTTGTAACAGGAAGGTTGACCCATCCGACTGCGAGAACAAATTAATCTTCGGAAATCCACTCATCCCGGAGAAATCTCACTCCCTTCTCATGTATGAGTCAGACTGATGACCAGTAGGTCCTCTGGTTAACTTAGGAAAGGTAGCGAGAGGGGGAAGGATTGGGACGAATGTGTATGTGAGAAAATGAAGACTCAGAGGTTTTGCAGCGTATATTTGGACGAACGAAATAGGACAGAAGAATAAGTGCACTCATAGTTCGCAAATAAAATAAAAAAGCGAACACCGATTACTGGCTCCCGAGGGTGTGAGGAAAATGTGCAGCAAGTTTCATGATCAAGCAAAGGGAAAGAAGCAGGCGAGATAAAAAAAATGCTTGGGCTGCCAAATGTTAAATGACTGCTCCGTGGAAATGTGGGCAGAACTCCTTTGCTAACATGCCAAACTGAGCGATGATGAGGGAAAGAAAAGAGGAATGAAGAGAACCGATAGATAGACCAAGCACAAGAGGGGTCTTATAGCCAGAAGAAAAAAAACGTGTTGACCATTTCAACATAACCACCAAAAGATGAAGTGAGTGAAATTTTGGCTGCAGTGACTGAACCGTTTATAGAACGGAAAGGAAAATCTCAACGAGGGCTCTGCAAAAATTGCGCTAATTCTGACTTGGGACTTGAGCATGTAGTAGAGGATGCAAAGAAAGAGAGAGGAACAACTCTGGAACGGTTAATTCAAAACCGCAACTGTGGCCCGCAGTTGTGTTCAGTAAGTGCCCAGAAGGGCCAAGAGAAACAAGATGAAGAAGCAAAGAAATGAAGAGACAGGTGAATGAAGGAACAAAAGAGCATTAACTCACCTCCGTCGGGCGACGTCGGAATGCTGCTACCAGTCCGATGCGGTGTCTGATGCGATCCAGTACTACAGTGATATATAATAGGTTTATCCAAAAGCGTCCATAATACATCTCATAGTACAGGAATATAATGTGTCAGGATACCAGTGGAGGGTGCGGGTCGAGGTCTGGAGGAAGTTCGAGGAGCGGCAGCACTCGAGTCGGACGACGGGGTTCCACGCGGGGTCCGGCGGCGATCCATTGAGCTCGAGCGTTCCTCGCATCGTCTTTTGTACGGCTCCGCCTCCTCCTATTATCAGCAGAAGTAATCGGAGCAACAAACGAGCCCAGAAGCTTTACTACATATTATTGGTTTTCCTATACTACTGAACTCTTACAGCACCCTGATTTACCACTATAGGCAAAATTTATACGAAATTCGAGATTTTGACCAAATTCGAAAAAGGAGGTGCCATAAGCCGCAGGTCGTCATGCACGCCAGCGAGCATCTTGAAGACGAGCGCGACGCGGAAATCAAGCGGAACCCTGATGATTCACGGAATTCAAAGCTCAGTTTCATAGAGAGCTTTCCCATCTTGTCGCGGTCCTTGAAATCACAATAGCTATGGAAATGAGGCCTTACGAATGGAGGAGCCGAGTACTCATCATATCTTGGAGGAGAGGAATCTGTCAATTCAAGCGGTTCCTGTTTTCCTTCACCAGAGAACACATCTCTTTATTTGATAAAGCCTTTTCATGCTGCTTCCGTCCTGATATTTGTCTTCAATCTAACATTGTTCGCAGGACCCACCACCTCAACCAAGGTTCAAGCTGCGTTATCAGCGCATATTACTCTTGGTCTCTTCAATTGGCTGAGTGTGCAACTTGAGAACCGCTTCACCTTATGAAGACAAGCATTGCGAATGCCACCGTGGAACAGCTTCCAGCATTCGTAGATTGGCCGCAGCAGTGAGAGATACCGTTGTAAATGTTTCAAAAACTCCCTTCCCGAATGGACGCAAAACCTGACATTGCAACGAAAACTCACCGCGCAATTCGAAGCACATCGGCTGTACCACGATACCACATCTATCGTATAGCCTTAACATTGCCCCCTCTGAAAATCTTTTCCTCAGTGCCTTAAGCAACAGTTTCCACAGAAAAATGTCAAGGAAACCACAAAAGCGGCCTCTCCCATTCCTGCAACCCCAGCTTCAATCATTCTGGGAGGGGAGCTCTCAAATTTCCCTGGCAAATGGGTGCACACAAGGCCATGATAGTTGTTTTACTTTTGACCAATTGATTTTCAGAAGCGATACAACTTGGAGGGAGGAAAGCGACGAAATTCGACCAGAAACGATGACACAACCCAAATACTTCGAGGCATTGCAGCACATATTACAAGCGCTCCATGGTCGTAGGCCGTCCACCGATCTGTATCTTCACTGTGATTCCCGCATCAAGTTAATAGGGTTGTTCTGGTAAACGGTGCTTCCAAGCTTGGTCGGTTTTATTTCAGTTTTGCCTACATATCTTCACCCATGTCGCCTCCTCTTTCAATAAAAC